TGAATCTCGGTGTGAGAGTTATTTCTAACACTTAAGTCACTTCGTTTTATTTATCGGTGTCTAATAATCGTGCTGTTGCGCATTTATCAAACTGAGGAGTGTAAATTCATTGGTAAATTCGGCTTCTGCGGGTTCCTTTTGTCCGTTAACTTAAAAGTTAAATGAATGCGGAAAATTTATCATCACATCATCTTAACTTTCGGTTCCTAAAAGAAGACGGAATGATCAAATTTATCAGTTCCTTTTCGTTATATTTCTTATATTCAGCGCATGTGGCCTCGTTCCAAACAATTTCCTTCTACTATAAACAATGCATGGGTTTCGACGTGACGAATTGCTGAGGTTTCAAACGCATCTTGCGACGTATGACAAGCATGGTTATATTATATTGGCTCTTGAAAGTTTGCCTAGTGAGCTTAATCCTTGAGTTGACTGATGCTCTTTCGGTCGGTAACACATCATTGCATCGTCAAAAAACAAAAAAAAGAATACATTCGAGACCAATGACTAACGCCCAAAGCCAAAAACAAAAAAAAAACGTTGATATTGTAGCCTCAGGGCTTTGGCCGTGGGCACTGCGCATATATAGGTTTAAGTTTCATGGCCGACTTGAGAATCATTGTTATCACAATTGAAAATAAAATTACATACCTTGCTACAGTTGACTGCAATCAAGGAGAGGTCGTTCTGGCTTATCAGTGAGCAACTCAGTAATCTGTGATAAATACCACTGTAACTTTAAGACAAAGCTCCAGTTTTAAGTAAGACGATCGCTAAATAATTTTCTTAGACCTTTTGAGTAATGCGCGTTACGTCTTTAAATCAGACGGATTCACTCCTAGAGAGCCAAATGCAAATAAACCTTGAACGTGATTTGCATCACGTTGTCACGATCAATATCCTCAATAAATGTCACGCATTCGTCCCATGAGCGATTTTCCCTTCCATTCTTTTGAAAATAAAATAATTTCGACAGTTCTTTTTACAATTAGGGTTTTCGTGAAACTATTGACGATCGCACACATCTCACACAATAATGTAAATTAAGATGTCGATATGTCCTGAGAGGGTCAAACACGTGACGTAATTAAACCAAGATTGGAACCAGATTTTGAAAAGGTAGCTGACCTCTATTGTGTTCTAGTGTACAAAGTGCGGGTACAAAGTAATCCTAGCTCACATAAATAACACTCATCGACCCTGGAGCGAATGGAAAGCAAAAAACAAAAAGAAAAACAAACAAAAAAAGCAAAAAGAACCGAGTGACACCAGGACGCGGTGGGAAGGGGAAGTAATGCAGGCTTGCGGCCGGCATCCAGCGTACGATCAACTTGTAACAGGCCTTTGTCTTGTTGCATTTAAGGCAAGTAGTTTATAATCAAAGAAGGGAGCATGTAGCAGTCCTGAGCATTATTTGGAACATTGTTGATAAAATCCTGCGGATGCTGCCTCTCTAGGGGCAGTTTTAATGTCACTAAGCTCAAGAAAAAAACTCATGATCGCCACCTGACGAGTTCATCGTAAGTAAACAACGAGTTTTTTTGATTAAAAGTTTTTGTTTTTAAATGATTATTCGACAACTGTCTGCATTGAAACGGGTGTGCATGTTAGAAGAATTCCCCTTTATCCTGAGCTTAGGTTTTCCTTTAACTTACATTTAAATCCTCTCCTTGTGGTTAACTCATTAAAAATCTTAGGATCGCTAACAGTACCTATCACTTATGTTACACTCTGAAACAAATAGAAGATTGCTCAGGAAACTTACATATGAAGTTTAAGGTAATCCAATTAACAGAGACGGATTGGATGCAGTCCTATGACCATCATTATGTGATTATTACGGATAATTAGAAGAGAAAATTTACTTGCCAAATATTAAATCTTTAAGATTACAAATTTAATCGACTGAGAGTCAGCTAAACGTGTTCTGAAGTTGGGTTGGACTGGCGTTTTTGTGTTTTCGTGATTCCTGAAAAAGATATAGCGGTATCTTCTTAACTAAACCACAGGCAGCCCAAGCTCCAGCTGAGAGGTGATCGATCATCTTCCGAAATAAGGGTGATGGCGAAATTATAAGTGTTTATATAGGAATATTTACGACCGCTCTTAGGAATAAAAAAAATAAGTCAAATTCTCAATAAAAATACCTCACCTTACTTCTACAGCGCATAACTTGTTGTCTGACCGCCTATAATTAATTACCTTCTTGAAAAGAACTTTTTGCGAGTTATCCACCTCTAGGTTTACCACATAAAACATTACTCAAATAGCGTTATTTGAATTTAGATATCGACAATTTTTCCAACAGAAAAAGAACAACAAATAGGTCTTATAATGAAAATGTTATTTACTAGGACAAATGGCTTTGTAGTGTAATTGAAATATGCTTCCAAGGGAGAGATAATACAAATATTAGGAAAAGATAAAGTAATAATATTCTCCAAAGTTGACAAATGTTTGAATAGTGAAGAATGAGTTGGCCGATAAAGAAACTACTTGCGAACCTAAAAGAACCCTGCCAACGATTTCGTTTTGCTTAATACCGTGCGATATCGGGATTCTGATGACTTTTCAACGCAACAGCAATTCATATCTTTCCCCTTATGGGACTGTCTTGAACTGTTTAGGTACATTAAGAATCCCGTCAGTTATTTGCAGGCGATCCTCTTCGCACATTTTTTGTCAAAACGAACTTATCAGGATGCCAGACGAGTGTATGCATGCTTTCATTCCTTGCTCGTTTTTTGTCAAAACGAGTAAGAACTTATCAGAATGCCAGAAGAGTGCATGCGCGCTTCTCAATAATCTCTTGATATTAATTTTCTGCTTTATTGCGAGCATCACCGCGACCATATCTTCAGAAGTCCCATCGCCAGGCAAGGGACATCACCATATCTTATTGTTCGAGGAGTTGTCTCGACAAATCTCTTCGAATTCATTTGATATGATATTCGAATCTACCTCTCCCTTTTTTAACTGCCATAAATGGATGTTTTAATTTTGGAAGCAGCTCATTGTTAAACGCCTCTTCCTTTCGTTGCACCTTACCCACAACTATATCATAGTCACAACTTTCCCGTTCCAAAATATATATGTAAAAGGAAAATCATCAGTTTAACCGAAAGTTCGATTTCTCTCGAGGTGGCGCACACATATCCCCACCGCTCCTTTGTTGTGTTTAAGCAAAGAACAACGTTTTAAAAAGGATATAAAAAATTTTTCGTTAGATACACAACTACTAACTAACTTAATTTAACCTAAGAAACATGGACAACTGAATATATTTTCGCTGCTAGTTACATAACGTTGCGTAATGAAAGATGATCATTCTTAATTCTTCGCAGGTTAACAACACGTAATGAACACTAAGTTTGGGGCCTATTTGCAATCAACACCACACCTTTTTTCGTTCTCCAAGTAACATAGAACCCTTTCTTTAGAGTCCTGGTTTGCCCTATATCCGAGCTTATCGGAGTTGCTCTTCCAAAAGAGTTGGTTTCGGTATTTGAGGAAAAACTCGCACCACACCTTTCAGTCAGTAGAACTAACTACTGATCTCACTCTATATTCAACACGCACAAAAAACGTACATGTCGAGTGAGATTGACTGCAACACTCGTATTCTATTCGAAACACACAAAACGAACATTTAAGCAAGATTGACTTCAAGTCTCGTACTCTATTCGGCACGCACAGAAAACGCACATGTCGAGTGCGATTGACTACAAGTTTCGTGTTCTATTCGGCACACACACAAAATGCTCATCTTAGTTAAGGCTGACGTCTAGTCTCGTACTCTATTCGGCACGCACAAAGACGCACAAAACGCACAAGTCAAGTAAGATTGACTACAACACTCGCGCTCTATTCAGCACGCACAGAAACGCATATGTCAAGCAAGATTGCCTCAAGTTTCGCACTATATTCGGCACACACAGGAAACGTATATTTCAAGTAAGGCTGAATACAAGTCTTGCACCGTATTCGACACTTACAGAAACGCACATGTCAAGCAATATTGCCTCAAGCCCAGCACTCTGTTCGGCACACTCAGGAAAAGCACATGTTGCAAATAATGAAGCTTTCTTTGCCTGAAATGAAGTTACACGTTTTGAGTTTAAAATTCAAATGGTTGAGCTTATACATCGTCTCTTAATTTGTTTGAGAGAGAAGTTTTGATGTTTTTGTAGTGACATAGCGAAGGATTTTGTAACTTAAGCAACAGGACGAATGGTTCTTTCTCGTAATTTTGAAATTTTTGTAAATGCCTTTAATAATCAGCAATCGCAGATTGTTTTAACCAAAACCGGGGTTTTCGTAATTTCTGTTTGAAATCACACACTACCTCTGTTGTGTGATAACAACGCGGTAGAGATGGATATTACGCATTCAATTTATCTCCCATTTACACTTACCATTTTCACAACCTAGTATTCTAAAAGTTCTACCGTCACTGAAATAATTCAGGATTGAAAAATGTTACTAACCCAAAACTGATTACATTTGGAAATGAGAGTAAGAAATTACAGTCCGATGAATATTTTCTAAAAATTGGTGCAGGGGAGACAAAAAAATGGCCAATTGTAATTAAGCTGGGCGGATTTCTACTTTATTATCGCACTCTGTCACTGGGTGCTTTGATATTCCTGGTCCTGTCTGTCTTTTGCACTGTTGATGATTGCTGAAAATTGAAACTGAAGGCTGAGGCAGTACTACGAAACTGTATCTTGCCTGAAAAATATTGAGTAACCACATGGTTCCGATTGCAATAATCGATCGATCCATTCCGATCGGCAATAATTTTTGCATCTTATTCTTTTCGGCATGGTGCTCGATTCGATTCGATTCGTCGAGATTCGGCATTTTACAGGCCGCCTGTCATAAAACCAAATTATTCTGCAACACCCCCCGTCGACGCACTACCACAGATTGTTTAGAAACGTACCCCCCTTCGAGGAAAACTGAAAAGGTTTGGGTTTGTTTTAATGCACTTTCTTGAACACTGTTTAAGTCGCATCAACTCGTAAAATCGTTCTTAAAGTTAACCTCCACTTCTCAATGGCTAGAGTAGGAGATCTAATGCTACTTTTCTCAAACCTTAATCTTCAAGCTCGAAACTGGGAAATATCCATTAACACAGATTCTTAAGAGTTGTTTTGTCTCCGTTTTGTGGCTGTAATATTGAAACGAGGATATAGACAAAGATTAAGACTTTGCACGCTACTCAAACAAAATATTTGATATCAGTACCCACACCTACTAACTTAGTATAGTTATGATGACAAAAACTGTTTTAGGAATGAAACGTGTTTCTACTACAACATAATCTTTTCCCTATGGTTCTACAGTCCTTGGCACTTTTAACAACCACACCAGTGCAAGAATCACTTCAGAGTCGCTTAACTTGTTTCCAGTCAAGTAGTACTCTAGGGCTCAGATGCGTTCAGAAAAGTCGCCATCGAGTCATCAAGGGCTTCCATAAATGTAGAGTGGTGAATTGGAGACTGGGTTCCAGTAAACTTGCTTGCGTGGCTTCGATCTCTGTAAGTGAGGATGTTCTCACGTTTGTGTTGTTGCCAGTCATAGAACTGCTGGGTGGTGTCCAGGTCATATCCGTACTCTGCATCCTTGGCGATATCGACTAAGTATTCAGTCTGAAAGTCTACGGCACCGTGATAGTCCTTCACTTCATCCATTCTAAAATAATGGGAAATGAGAATAAATAGATAAATGAAGGAATAAATAAATGGAGAAAATAAAATATGGTGAGTGAATGGTAGAGTGGCGGATCCCAGATGGACAAATGTTTTTGTTATTGGGGCTTTTTATATTTTGTTTTTTGGGGAGGGTGGGCAACGTTTATTTCCACTCAACCACGTTTTCTTGACATGTTCTGTAACTGATCCGTTACGTGGTCACTCTTGCTCGAATGAATTTTTTTATTTTAAGTTTACAGCCAGTAACTAAAAAGAAAGAAAATTGTGATCCAAGATTGTCAAATATTTACACGTTGTGGATTTCATTTCATTTAAACAGCGACGAAGTATTTTTTAAAGTTAGAAGATGAAGGCTTATTGAGCGCATTCTAATTGATTGTGGTTGTTGTAACATTAGAATCAAAGTATCAAAGGGGAAAGTGGCAAGTGAAAACTCAAAGCAAAATCGCGTAAACTGGCCTAAACCTTTAACTCTCAGATTAAATTTGCAAGTCTCCTTACTGTCAACCATACAATTCTTATAATGTTAGTTCAGAGAATTAAGTATTGAATCACCTAATTATCCCCAAATTGATATCTTTCTATAATTCTCATCTCTTATCTGGTTGGTGTTTTATTGATATTGTAAGGAGAAATTCTGTCTTGGTCACTCATGGGAGTTAAAGGGTTAATGGCAAGAAAATGCGAGTGAGCGATGAGCTTTGAATCTAAAATACAAGTCGCGATTTCTTTTAGTTTCCTTTGATTATTTTGAAGGATGACGCTAGTTTTCTAAAGCAATCAAGGTGGGGCAAAACCGAAAAAGGAATTTTGCATAATTCATTCAACAAACCAGGGAAAATTGATCCATAACTTATTACTTTGCGATCCATTTCGCTATATCCTCCTCCATAGCTTCCTTGTCAGGAAGTTTGAGCTCCCCTGTTATACAATTCACGGTCCACTTGGCTTGCGCGTCGAACATGGTGAAGCTGTAGACCTGGTTTTGCATTCCAATGTAGAAAAACTTGTTGTTGCCAGCCTCAGTCCACAGTACATTCTTGTACATCCCGGCAGGGTACAAGATATTCCTGGTCTTCAGTCGGAGGCGCTCTTCAAGGAATGGAAAGTGAAAGTAGTAGCCGGTGCACAAAATGATGGCGTCCACATCGGCAGTGGTACCATCCTTGAAGTGGACAGTTTTGTCTTCGATATTGGTTAGCATTGGTCTCTCAGTGATCTCAGGGGGCCACTTGAAGCCCATCGGTCTGGTCTTATAGGAACAAATGATCTTCTTGGCGCCATATTTGAGGTTTTGCAAAGCGATATCCTCAGCGGAATGGCTGGAGCCAACTATAAGGATCGTCTGTCCCTGGAACTGATAGGCATTTCGGAAGTCGTGCGAGTGCATCACGCGGCCAGGAAACTCTTGAATCCCTGGAAAAGAGGGAACGCTCGGCACAGAAAAGTGACCGGTCGCCACGATAAGGTAGTTAAACTTCTGAACAGGAATGTCTTTGTCCTCGACAAGGCTTTTGACAACAACTGAAAAGTCGTCAGTGTTATCATTGTAGGTCACTTGGCGGACGACATGGTTGAAATGAATCAAATGGCGAAGATCGCCTTTGGTCCAACGACCTGATTGAAGATTAAAGAGAAACGCTGTCATTGTTAAGCTACGTACCAGTGGAGCAATTATCAATCAAGTTTCGAAAATAATCCTGGATAAGTTTGGTTCTGCCTTTACTTCGTTCTGTGCCATCAATCAGACGAAGATCAAACCCATTCGTGACTTGGACACCCGCGTTTTCCCGCTCTTTAGCAGATTGCCAGTTTCTGGCTGAATATAAAGGAAACCTTTCACCTGATTGGCTTTCGTGATAACTCTGGTTTTGGTATTTCGACAAGCAATTGAAAACTGCTCCGGTGTTTTTCAATTTGTCAAGCTATACGTCACTCGTCTACAATCACTGTATAGTTTTCTTTTTATCACGAAATTGAGGAAACCAATCACAACAACAGCAACAACAAAAAAACGCGATCGGAGAGCTAACCAGCAGGTAAGTCGTTGAGATAAGAAAAATACGCACCTTTCAGATAATCATAGAGAACCTCTCTCGGTGGAAAAGATGGAATTGGCTTTTTGTAATGTTCTTCAAAAGTGTAGTCAGGAAACTCATTAACTTCCTTCGGACTATTAGACCAGAGGCCTTTGTACATACTTCCATGGACGGGTTCGCCAAACTGATCGATACCTGAGAAAAAAGATGTGTATTTTTTATTTCTCTTTCAAGTCATTGTCCCCTTGGACCCTGTGCCTCAGTATGCATACAGACCTAGTGGTTTCTCAAGGCAGCGTTTCTAATCTATGATAAAATTTGGAACAGTTATGATTTTTGTCACATTGCCTTTCCATTTTGTTTGGATGGTTCACTCTCCTCACAATTCACCATTTTCTTCTCGCCCTTTTGAATGCGCTTGTAAATGATGCTGTATGTTTTAGAAGAAATGCTTAGAAAAAAATTTACAGAAAATTCCTGGTCCCGGCAGCTAAGCCTTATTCCCACTCCTAAAAGAATGCAGCCTTTATCAGAAAGACAACAGAAGATCATTGGAATGGAAACACGGGCTCTGAAATTTGGGTATCGTGTTGTTCGACGTATTGAGAAACATGAATTATATCTAGAAAGTCCTCCCATTTAAACGTTGTTAAAAGAGTGTGTAAAAGCGCATTGAGGACTACTTACCAGTTTCCCAGGAGTATTTCCAGAGACCTCCCCAGTCCGACTGCTTGTCGTAGCACACAATTTCGGGGATTTCTTTGCCTTGTTTTCTCAGTTTATTAAAGTGAAACAGAACTGACATACCACTGGGACCTGCACCGATCACACAGACACGCTTCGCTTTGAACATCTTTACGTTTGTTGGCTCCAACTGTCGAAAAAGAAATTTTATATAATGACGCTTTGAAAAATCAATCAGTGTTTTGATTGATATTTGTTCGAAAATACACGCCATAGGTTCCCGGTCCATCTTAATTTGAAATGAATTGATCTCCATTCTCTTACCCGGCAGGGCCGTAAGGGGCCGACGACGTATTGCGTATTACGTACTGCTTCTAAAAGTACTCAAAATTTCCCCAGGAAAATACACAGAAGAGGGGTGTAGGCGCCTTGACATGGATCGTGTTTGTGGTGCTGAGTACAAACACAGCGACGAAAGGAAAAAGAGGAGAAAGGTCCTAAGGGGACAAAGAAAGAAGAAAGAAGACAAGAACCAACAAGCAGAGGGTGTTACTCATGCTGCTAGAGCATTTTAAGACACTTCCTCTGCTCAGAGATTCAACAGAGAGTTTTCAAACCCAAGTACAACTTTTAAATGCATTTTTCTGTCAAAGTGCATTTTGATAGAACCCCGAGTAGCTCGACATGTGTAGTTCAAAAACTATTTGAAATAATTTCATGAAATTTTCCACAGAAAATCTTGAATGGTGCTTCTGTGCAATAAATCTAAAACAAAGTAAAAAGGTAAATTGACCATTCAGTGGCAGGCAAATTTTTTGCAGAAGGAGCCCAATTTCAGTATTTGACATGGTTATAATCATGTTGTATCATTGCACAGAACTAGTATGGATACCACTCCTTGGTATAACTCTGTAACTTATGGTAGGCACTCACTGCGACACTTAGGACCTAAATTATGGGCGAAGCTGTCATCGAATGACAGATCAGCCAAAATAATTAATGAGTTTAAAAGGCGCATTCGTGGCAAAGATCTGGCTGAGTTAATAGAAACCGGCTGCAAGGGTTGTATCCTCTGCTCAACAAGACATTTTTACCTTTTTTTTCACCTTAATACTCATATTTTAATGTAGACGTCTTAGTCTTTTAATTCTGTACTGTATTTTATATAATTCTGTGTTGCATTTTATACTAATATGCGTCCCCTTATTAGTATGGGTTCTCCCAGGCTACACGGTTTGACACTTTGATAAAGTTTTTATTATTATTATTATTATTATTATTATTATTATTATTATTGTTAGCGGTTGAATGGTAAACGACACAAAGGATTATTGACGAGATCGATCTAGGTAGGTTATGAGGCCTCAAAGAGAGCCACAAAGATTCCACATCCGGCTGCTCACACTGAAATAATCGAGTGCATGGTAAGGTTTGTCTCAAATAAATACAGACCCCTCCACCAGGCGCAGACGTACGATCGTTCCTAAAAAGGTTATACCCCGGCATAGCCTAAGCAGAGTCTGGAATTTGCAGCGACAGCCATGACTCTCAGACACAAAGAGCGCCGGGATTGTTACATTATGCGACATATTGCAGGTCATCGACCTTATTGCTGAGGGATCGTAGATTCGCAATTAAGATTATAATGTCGCTCTTTAATTTGTTTTCCAGCTCAAACCCCACGTTTACGCCTCGCCATTCCCAAGTCAGAGAGGCTATTCTTGACATCCCAGGACAGTACTGATGTACGTGACTTCAAGGGGAACAGATATTGGGAAGAATAAACAATGGGTTCTGCATTTTGGAAATTTGCATAACCGCCTGTAGATGAAATTATGCAGGATTGATTTCTTCGTCAGCTTTCTTCAGAATTGGGAGTTATATCTCCTGGGTTAGATTCCACATCCATGCAGATGGTCAAATCCCTAGGGAAATCCAAATCCGTTCTTTGTAGAAGCAGAACCTAAGCCATTTAAAACAGCATCTTTTGGACCTCGGCTTGCTAGAGTAGATCTTATAATGAAAGCTAGCGACGAAGTAAACCGAAACGAGCAACTTGCTTGGAATAACTCGTTTCATGGAGACACCAGTTTCGCTAGCAAAGTCTAGGGCCCCATTAGAAATAATTTGAGAGCCATTAAATAGCAGATGTGTGACTTAATGGTAAGATATTAGATAAAATATAGAGAGCTTAAAAGTTGCGATCGCCATGTTGGCGCTGACTTTAAATTCTTTAAGGTGGCTAATTTACGTTTTCAACTTACTCAATAACACTTAATTACCCTATGTTAAACTTCGTATATTGGCTCTTGAAAGTTTGTCCAGCGAGCTAAACAAACTGAAACCTAACTTCGCCGAACTTAAAACTGATGATCTCTGTTGGTAAGAGATCATTTCATTGTCAAAAAATGGAAAATACGGTGTAGGGGAATGAATTACTCTAAAAGCCAGATAATGACGATGGCGTTTGAGCTTCAGATCTTTTGTGGCAGTTCGCTCATGTAATTAGAAATTTCATACCCGCCTTTGAGAGTTATTGCAATCACGATTGAAAATAAAATTACCTACCGCGCTACAGTTGACCGCAATCAAGGATTAAGACGTTCTGGAAAGTAGGGTTTATCATTGACCAATTCAGTGATCTGTGAGGAGACCACTTTTTCACGGACTTTTTAATGACGAAGTACCAGTTTTCCGTACGAATGATTTTACGAACCTTTCTCAGCCACGTGCGCTACTTAGGAAGTTTGGAGAGCACTCAAGAAGCTAGAGTTGCTCGAGGCGTTGCTCGAGGCGTAGCCTCGAGCAACTGTTATGCATCTTTCGTGCTCTCCTGACTTCCCGCGCCCTTCATATCTCGATGAACGCACGCTAACGTATGAAGCAATTGTTTTATAATATTTTCAACCCGATGGAAAATTATTTTTCTCGAGGGATTTGTTTCCTGACGTCATGAGCGTGCACTATAGGAATATGAAGCACGCTCACGCAATTGAATTTGATTAGACAAATTCGCTAGCTATGTTATAATAGGATTTATCTTCCAACAGAAGGAAATGCAAATATAGCGGTTAACTGACGTCAATGTGATTTAAAATAACTTTTCACGAAATCCTAAATAGATCGTCGCAATCGTCCTTAAAATGACTTTCTCCCTTTTTTTTCATCTCTTGAACTCTCTCGTAAAAGTTATCATCTTGAAACGTGATTTGAAAATGAAAACGTTCCGAGAAGTATTTTTTTCGATTAGGGTGTTGGTGACTGCCGGCTACCATTGCCAATCACACACCATGACATTAGTTAAGACTTGCAAAAAATATCACGAAATGTGACGTCATTGAACTAATCTTGGTTTGAATTTGGGTCTAGTAACGTCACGTTTTCTGTCCCTGTCTGATGTCACGGTGTTTGATTATCAAAAGTCACGTCTCGCGCACGCACATTTAGAGGGGAGAATATAGAGCCTGGCGCCATATAGCTAAAGATCGATTGTCTTAATTCGCAACGTTTGAACTGCTGTCATCACGTTTTGTTATTTTCCTTTGATAGCCAGAGAGAACAGCATTACAAAGGAAGCTTTTGTCATGTAATAATTTATTGTTTCTAAATATACACGAATCCTTATGTTTTTGAATAGATCTCTTCATCGATGACATTCATTGTGACTCCTTATACACGCAGCTGCACCAGTGACAACAGATCGAGTAATTAACTAATTGATCAAACTCTCTTTACCTGATTACTCAATCATGCAAACTGATTAAGGCATCCATTTTGCGAACGTGCTCTGATATTTCGCGTTTTGAAACAGCCGTGGCCATGTCAATTTCGCCGAACGCTGCTTGAAAATTTCTCGGTGGTTTTTACAAGAAGTGTGTCACTGAAACACATCACTTCAACAGCGATGTGTTTGTCTTCTTCGATGACGAAGCTAGTTCTAATTTTTGAGCGTCCAGGAATGAAATGAAAAGTTTTATGCAGGCGCATGGGATCCGCGTAAGATTTCCGTCAAACAGGCTTTCATGATCCTTTACAATATCACCACTGAATCACACATTAACGTCATGAGAATAAAATAAATGATCACTAACTAAAGAAACTCTTGATTGTTAAACAAATTCTCCTTGTCAGCACCTTAGTAAAAGTACAGAGAACAGAATGGAGAATATGAATTCTGATGGTAAGGTGTAAAGGGTTAATAAGAAACCACTTCTTGTTTTAAAAAGATTTTATTCGACTTCTTACTACATCGAAGCAAACGGAGAAAAGTAATTTTCCACCAACGTCCTGTCCGCTCCATTTTTCTAAAAGCTACTTTTCTTAGTTTCACGAGCGTGCATGTTTGAAAAGTTCTCCACGCTGAAAATTTCAAAATGAAAACATTTTATTTAATGCTTATATTTCCTACATCGCATTAAGATCCTTTCCTAACGTGTACTTCTTTAATTTTCAAAGGATCTCCAACAATATTTAATACTCACGATACACTCTAAAACAATACTTAACAAATATTCACCAAAGTGGAGGTGAATAATGGTGGATATTTACCAAGCCACGAAGCGGCGAGGTGAAAGTACACCACCGACACTGGGGTGAATAAATGTTTAAATATGTAATATACACATACCAAAACAATTGTTTATTTGGTTCAATATACCAAGGAATGGTCGGAAGTTAAACTCTTGACGCGCGGTTTTAACTCATCGGCTGCTCCGACTGCTGGGAAGTGAATGGTACTTGTCATTCACTTCCGCAATAGCCAATCAGCGCGCGCGAAAAGCACTATTCACCTGTGTGGTTTGTACTAATTACGATTAACAAATGGTAGTTGTCGAGGTTTACATAAAAGGAACTCCAATCAATAAAGTCTGACCGAACGTCGTCCTATGACAATAATATGATTCTTACTGGTAAAAAGATAAGGAAATTGCATGAATGCGAACAATCTTATGACCATTATGGGCTTAAGCCGTTAGCGAAAACACTTTGGAAAGCATTCTAAAAAATTAAGAATTACCATACATCACAAAATAGCAAGCAGGTCATGCAATTTTTTCTTTACTATATTCACTACGAAATAACTTTCTAACGCTTCGTTGCAAGTGCTGGGTTTATAAAACTTAGTTCTTACGAAAACCTCCGCAAGTTTCTTAATGTAAAGCACATATGCTGTACAAGGTAACGCTAACCCTTGTTTCACTCTCCTCAGTTGGAGCAAAATTCAACCCTTTGCTGACACTTAATCTATCCGATAAATAACACTTGCCAAATCTGAAATCTTTAAATTATAGAAATTTAAACAACTGAGTGTCAGATGTAAGTAATTAAGTTGCACTAAATTTGTGTTCCCGTGTTTTCGTGATTCATAAAAAAAGAATTCCTTACAATACAGACGGGAACAACAACAACTTGCACCAATCACCGCTGAGAAGTGATAACGTTCATGTTGTACTTCCACTTCCGGTTTTCACTAGCATGATGCATTCTATTCCACATGACATAATAAATTAAACCAAGCAAAAAAAAATTCGGGTTTGTTTCGTTGCACGCATTGAACACCATAACATTCATATCAAAGTTTATAATTATTAAGTTAACATTCCATGCCGCTGACCAGTGTAGAAGATCTAGTCAACCCTTGAGCGCACTCAAGTTACGTTCTATGCTGTGTTATAGGTCTACTGTCTTCACAGTGTTAGTGAAAATGGAGAAATGTTTGAGAAGAAAAACAAGGCAATCACACTATGCTTAACCTTATAACCCCTAAGAGTGGTGAGCATCTAATTTCTCCCAACATGAAGGTCATGTGAATGAAGGAAATGATGCAAACTCCAGTTAGACTAATTACCCTTGTAAGTACCGTAGGAATCGTCTTTGAGAATTTCATTCTGATATTAGGGTGCCCAGTCAACTTTTAAATGCAGGTGAAAAGAGAAAAAAGAAGAAACGAATAACTAACACAACAAAGCAAAGCGAAACCTGTTACATTTGACCAAAAGGCACAATCACGCTTGTACCACCTAACTCAAGTTACCATGGAATACTACCAATAATTGCCTGAAAATGGACATGGGACTTGTTTACTGACTAAAGGCACAGAAAATACTGCATTTGACAAGCAGTTTCTACCTCCTTTCCTTACTAACTTAACCCTTTCACCCCTGAGATTTCATTAGTAATTCTCCTTACACACAACCATACAATTTTTAAGATCTCAGTTTGGAGAATTCGGTGTTGGATCAACTAATATTACCTTAGCTAATATTTTTCTTTATTCTCATCACTAGTCTATTTGAAATTGTTTTGATATTGTAAGGAGAAATTCTCTCCTCATCACTCATTGGAGTGAAAGGGTTTAAGGGGTAACTTTTGAGCAAAGACTTTACCAATCAGTTTTTGTTTAAGTAGATTCTCTTCCTGAGTGTGACAACAGGAGCTGGGCACTGTTTGTAACCCCTTTTGGTAAATGCATCTGACACTTCATCATTAACCTTCACCATCATGGTCGTCACATCATATTTCTCACAATACTTTCGGAACACTTCACAAAGCTTGGAAACATACCAGGAGCCATGGATTTGACTTCTCCAGCTGACATAACCTGTTGAGAATGAATTCAAAGTCAAAAGAAATAATTACATGTACATTTATTGAGCAAATGAAAATCAATAAATTATAAAATTATTCATGACTCTAACAGCTTCAGACGCGAACGAATATTTATCTCGTTCGCGTCTGAAGCGGATATAGTTATTGGCGATGTTTACTTTGCTTTATTCGCCTTGAGATCCTTATAAACTTTGTTGCAAATAAAAAGAATTGCTTTTTACTAAAGATCTTGTCTAGAAAGCCAAGTTTTCTTTAAAAAATCTGAGCGATTGACATGACGAGTCTTTACGGTGTTGTTGTCACACAACTCATTCGCGTCTACAGCCAATTTTGTTCATTGGCGACTTTTACTTCGCTTTGTTCACCTTGAGATCCTTATAAACTTTGTTGCAAATAAAAAGAATTGCTTTTACTAAAGATCTTGTCTAGAAAGCCAAGTTTTCTTTAAAAAAATCTGAGCGATTGACATGATGAGTCTTTAAGGTGTTGTTGTCACACAATAACTTGTTCGCGTCTGAAGCGGATATAGTCATTGGCGATGTTTACTTTACTTTATTCGCCTTGAGATCCTTATAAACTTTGTTGCAAATAAAAAGAATTGCTTTTTACTAAAGATCTTATCTAGAAAGCCAAGTTTTCTTAAAAAATCTGACCGATTGTCATGATGAGTCTTTACAGTGTTGTTGTCACACAATAACTCGCTCGCGTCTTAAGCTGTTATAGTCATTGGTTATGTTCACCAATGTTCGCCAATGTTCGCCAATGTCTAAGCTTCTGTTTGATGTTCACCAATGTTCGCCAGTGTATTTTTACTAAACATCGTTTACTTTTCTGTATGTTTAACTTCTAACAAGTTGTATTGGATTGAGGACCAACTCGCCGACGTCTCTACTCGATTTTATACGTCGGCGAGTTGGCGTCGGCGAGTTGGACTGTCGGTGAGTTGACCGTAATTCGTTCATTGTAATGTTTGTGACAAGAGGAGAAACCTTTCACATCACGAAACCTGTGAGTCAGTGAGTGAATTCTCTGAGAAATATTCATGACATACAAAAAGCAGACATAAAATAACAGAAATTTCTGACTGAAATTCACCTTTTACCATGATTTCACTGAGAATTTACCTGGAGGGGTGGCATAACCCAAGAGAAAATGGCTTTCATTTGGCTCTGCATTATTCCTCATGGCATCTTCAGGACTGCTTTCTACTGCATCAGCTTCAATCCAAGCTCCTTCATCAAGACCTTGCCCCCTGCAAGCTTGAATGAAAAACAATTTGGGTTTGTTAGCAAGTGATGGGCAGGCCACGCCTTTGAACATGGCTGTAATATCATTTATCTCCACCAATTTACTATCTGTGCCATAGATCCTTCCATTGGCTCCATGGCTAAGCAAGCAGCAAACAAAGCAGTCAAAGTTTGAGTGATCCATCATTGAGATCCATCTGACACATTCAATTATTTCATGTGACTGCAGGTCCGCTCTGACAATTACTTCAAAATGCAGGAATTCCCATAGTTCACGGAGCTGATCCACATCCTTTTGATTTCCTTGGCGGTCTCTCAAATCAGGGTTTCCCTGGAAGTGTTCATTACTTATAATCAGTGCAATACCACGTGGCCGGTTTCTCATGGGATAGGAAGGCATTGCATCTTCCTCGTCAACCGCTAATTGCCGCATGGGAGCAACAATTTCTGCTGGATTAGCCAGTGCCTGGACAGGGAATCGTGGTTCAATGTTGTCTGGACCTCCATCCCGCCCACCCATGAAATGTGCAGGAGAAAGTAAAGGTGTACTTTGTGGTCTTGGCTCACCCATCTGGTGCACTATTGGCTGCTTCCCAGTAACTAAAGGTCTGAGTGGTGGGGCTTGTGTTGATGCAAATGGGCGTTGGTCATTGATTGGTGATTGAGCTGACCGGTCAATTTTGGCCGCACTGGAACTTACACCTCCTAAATTAAAAAGATAAAACACACAAGTTATCCAAAAAACACACAATCAACAAGAAAATCAGCAAAATAATTTTCTGACACTTCTGGTATATTCTTAACTCTTTACATCCTAACATCAATGTACATATCCTCTTTACTGTTCTCTAAACATTTCCTAAGGTGCTGACAAGGAGAATTTGTTAAAAAATCAAGAACTTTTTTCATAGGTGATCAGTTGACCAGAGGTTAAAGGGTTAAACCTTTAATTCCCTATCACCCTTTGTAAGTCTAACACATTTTTCTTAAATGTAGAAAAGTTACAGTCAAGAATAAGCAGAAAACTGGGATATGATAATTTTCCCATTTTTTAAATATGCCAGGGAAATCACAGCCATTGCAGTAAGAACCAAGCACCAGGTCTGACACTGGTGAGGGTCGTGATGTCAACTTGCTATCCTTATGTAGGGCATGGCCTCACATCCATGATGTCCCAATAGTCAACTCACCATGCAAAGAGCCACACTACAGCTAATAGGTAATTAGCCCAAAATGCCTGCTAAAAGCATGTTAAAAAAAAGTGTGCACATGTGTGCAACTTTCTGAAACATGCTTCAAAAATGTGCGCCAAAGAAGCTCATTAGTACGTATGAGGTAGCCTTTTGTTTTACTCTTTGTTTAACTTTGAATGGTGCATTAAGATTTTAAAATAATAGAGGGATTCCAATGTTGATGACATTATGTTGGTGTGTTGTTTATATTATTTAGAAGAAAATGGAGAAATGTTTTCAGTTAGTGACAAATGAAAGAAAGCAAGAGGTACAGGTGCAAGTCAGTTTAACTTCTTAATGGAGCAGCATCTACAGCAATTTTAGATCCCTTGAACAAAGTTGTCACAATCTCAGGCTGGAATCTTAAATAATCCAGAGTAAAAAAGTGCATCAAGTTTATTATTGACATCTTAAAAATTTCGCAAACATATTTTATGAAATACTAGTGGAATCATTTCAATGCTTCATTGAAGCCACAGCCATTGTGTCCTTTAGATGTTAAGATTTAATGCTTCAGTCCAAGCATTTTGAACAGGAAACTTTTGTTTTCTGAAAGAATGCAGAACAAAGCAAGCTGACTGCATTAAATAACAAAAGCAAAACCACACTCAAGACATGCTTAATATGCATTTTTTTTGCCTGAAACATGATAAATCTATGAAGGTTTTCTGTGACCTGTCTCTGACCTGTATTGAAGGATTGCCTAAAGAAGGAAAAGGAAAACCAAGAGTTTTCAGTCTCTTTGGCACTCAGCCAGACTCAAAATGGCACCATCCATTAACAGATTTTAAGCTAATTTGAAGACAACTTTCTGAAGGTTTGCTGTGACCCTTTAGCACTTGAGAGTGATTAGCATCTCCTTACTATAATTTATGACCTCTGAATCAAATATTAAGGTCACAGGGATAAAGGAAATGATCACCAACAGACAAAGCTCTTGACTGTTAATCCTTTTCACTCTTAGGATCTGATTGTTAATTCTCCCCTCTAGCTGCTACACAATTCCTTGTAAATTAGTTGCGAGAATTTGGTGAAAGATCAAGATAAAACTTCTATCTGATAAGTTTGAGCATTCTGAATAACCATTTGCTAAAAATAGTGTGGAAATTAAAGGGGGAAGTTGCAAACAAATTCTTCTTGCCAGCACCTTAGGAAATGTACAGAGAACAGTATTGAGAATATGAAGAATGGTGTTAGGGTATAAAGAGTTAACCCTTTAACTCCCAGACCAAATTTGTAATTCTCATTACTATTAACTATAAAATTCTTATAATGTCAGTTCAGAGAATTGCGTATTGAATCGACTAATTATCCTCAAATTGATATTTTTCTTTATTCTCATCACTTATCTGGTTGATATTGTATTAATATTGTAAGGGAAAATTCTGTCGTAGTCACTCATGGGAGTTAAAGGGTTAAGCGTGGAATTGTGAGGCTACTACTTACAGTGTATGTATTAGTACCGTAGTTATTCGGTTATAAGGCGCACTAGGCTATAAGATGCACCCTCAATTCGGCAACTTCCTTATTGCATGTTTTCAAACTGAAAATATTGCTAAAATACTGGGTTTTAAGGCGCACCGTTGTTTGGGGAGTAAAGATCAGTCAAGTTTATTGTAAATTCTTTCATAAACTTTCAAAAAAGCGAAAAAGTCGCGTATTGATTATAGTTTACTGTTAATTAACAAAAGCAGAATTGTCGCATACGTGACCACGTGCACAAACAAAAGCCTTGATTAAACAAGAATTAACATACCGCCGAGAATGCAGGTCTCAGTGCACAAAAAAGGCTGGATGGATGAAGAAGGTATTTATCTCTTCGCTTGTTTATTTTTGTTTTGTTTTGTGACGTATCAAATTACTGAGCACGTGCTCTCGAGCACGTATCATATCCATGCAAATTTGACTTCGCTCGTCTTTTCAGAACCACCATTATTTTATAAAAGTCAATGACCAACACTGTGTATCCTTTTATTTGCTTGAAATCATACCAGTAACTGTGATAAAAAAAAATTGTTGTGGGAAAATATTCGCCTATAAGACGCACCCAAACTTTGCCGGTAATTTTTAGTAGAAATTAGGAATTTCTTGAAAAAAACGGTGTGCCTTATAACTGAATAACTACAGTATTTGCCTGCACCAGGTTTCAATGTAAGACAAGAATATAAACTCAAAAACAAAAGGAGCATACCATCTGATTGGAATTTTCTGACTCTCTCTGCTAAGTCTCTGCGATGTATTTCCTGGAGCATGTCAGCAAGGTGGTCCAAATTACAAGGTCCAATACTGCCACATTGAATCATATACTTGAAGAGGTCTTTTCCATTCTGCACATTTTCATCAATGCCATCTGAAATAAATAACACAAAGGTCCTGAATTCCCATTACCCTAGGAGTGTAATACAGATGAATCTTTTTTCACTTGCAAAGATTAAAATTTATGGTCATTTCAAGATTTTGCTGCTTTTTATAACTAATTATTACCTGTAAAGAGGACAGATCAAATAAAATGAAAAAACATGACATAATTAATCCCACATTGCTCAAAGAGAAGTACTCAAAAGAGAAGTTCTAAGCACAATTAGTTATAAAAAAAGAGTTTAGGTATTTTGGAAGAGTGATCACTTAGAGCCAATGGTCATTATGAAAGAGGGCAATACAGAGAGTATTATAAACCCAAAAAGTGGGTGTGACCTGCTTTTACACTCAAGGGCTCTTCTTAAGGAGAGGGCATATAAACGACTAGGGCAATAGTTGGGGAAAGAAACTTCGTAGCACATAGCAGACTATTGATCTGTGGGTATAAGACCTTAATTTCAGATTCAGTTGCATTCCCTCACAGTACAGACACTTAAAAATGAATTTCACTTCTTCTTCTTCTAAGTTTCGCTTGATAGTAGTTTAAACATTAAAAGGTACTAAAATGATATATGAGGTTCTACTCAGAAAACTCTAGGCGCTAAGGATATATATAGCTACCGACTTCCAGTCATTTTAATATGGTAGCTCCCAGGATTCTTGATTATCCGTTTCGGTTTGCTACTTTTTTTTCGACAGTTTGATGAAACGAAATATAAAACCAAGTTAATTACCCGGTAAATCAGTAACAAACTTCAACGAGTCGACGTTATCTCTCGTTAATTCATCACTAAGTTTCATCAGGAAAGCTCTATAACTCTTGTCGATTGGATTGCTAGACACGGCGCTCTCTGTTTCCATCGTGGTGTCGTTACCATTCGTTTGAATCTTACCAGCTAGATCTGCTCTACCAATCTGAGTCAACAAGCGCTCTAAATGACTCAAATTACCCGGACTTATCATTCGTCTCTGAAGCATGATCTGGAACAAGGCGCTTGGACTCTTCGATTTTTCGAGGTCGCTCAAAGGTATCCGTCCATGGCACAAGTGTTTTATATTTTGAAGATCCCGACCTCTCATCTCGTTAGAAATCTTATACAGGATACGGTTAGTCTCCGAGAAGCTATTCATCTCGTTCAGGAGCAGATATGTTTCGAAATTACTGCTAACATTCAAGCATCGTCTCTCCCATAACAGAGGCCATTTTGACCTTTCCGAAGTATCAGGGAGACTGGGTTGAGGGAAAGTCCCGATGATGACGTCATTATGAAACCACAGTAAATCCATCTAATACTGTATTTCACCTTTGGCAGAAAAGGCTTCGAACTAGTTTCGCGGATTTCAAATTTCTTTGAAGTATAATTCTAGTATGTGTAATTACTAGGTAAACAATCATTTTTAGCCATATTATTTCAAAGCTGGTTTTTTTAAAAAAATGCTGCTACATTTACTTCCGGTATGACATCATGAAGCTTTCAATCCCTACAACCAACGCGCGCCACCATGTAAGCTTCCTCTTTGTTTTTCTGTCAGCCTCTAGCCGAAGCTACCTGAGGTGTCCTTGGTTTTCCTTATTTAATCCTAGAAATGGTAAGATTCGAATAAAAAGAACATTATTTTTGATTCATTTGATGACATTTTTTGTCTTTGGTGACACTTTCTGCATGTGGGATGATGCGATGGCAGAGATATCTCGAGATGGCTTTTACGAAAGTGTGACTCTCATCTTGGAACGTTTTAATTTTCCAAATAGGGATTTGTCAAAGTAATCAAGAACAAAGCGTACTTCAAGCGTTTCCAGGTCAAATTCAAGAGACGACGAGGTCAGTTTTACCTAAAGTACATGACAACAAACTTTCCTTGAAGTCGCTGTTGCCTTTTTAAGTCAAATCTTCCCATGCTACAGGAACTCACCGTTACATGGCTGTGTTTTGTTCTTATAACAGAGGGTAAAACCGATTATTATGCCCGTAAACGTCTGGTGACCCAGGATAAGAACAAGTATAACACGCCTAAGTACCGATTTGTCGTTCGTTTCACAAATAAGGACATCACATGCCAGGTAGGTACTAAACTTGTAGAGCATCGTATGTAAATCTTATTTTTCCCCATATTTGTAAAAACACGTGGAATCTAAAAGTTCTTATGATCTAGTAAATAATTCTCCTATTTAGCTGCGGCACGATTATGTGTTAATTTGATTAAGAATTTGGATGAGTTCAAGAAATCGTTTCCCAGCTGATGTCTGTTTTGACTGTCGTGGCCTGTTTGGCTAATAGTTCTATGAAATTGTGAGGAGGGAAGACTTACTCATCAGTCTAACAAAGAAGAAGAAGAAGAGGGTTAAATTTTGAGGAAAACTGAGGTACTGGATCTTTGGAAATTGAACAAGATTTAAGAGGCAGATGTGGCCAACTAATGGCTAGTGCACTGGACTCTGAGTTCAGAGGTCTGGGTTCAAGATCTTGCAGGGTCATCCTGTTGTGTTCTTGGGCAAATAGGGGTTACATGGGTACTAGCAAAATTTCAGGAAGTGTGATGAAATGCTGAGAAGTAACTCTTGCAAAGGAATGTAGTCCCATCCAGGGGAAAGAGGTTTACTCTCAGCCACCTCATTCTACAGAAACTAGGAAATAACCTCCAGTTATTGTTTTACACAAGATTAATACTTAATTATGAATATTTTGATGGGTGTCTAGAATTCTACTGGAATAACATGGCTCAATAAAAGTTGATGTCATCAGATTTCATGTTCCTTAATAACTGTACAACTTATTTAATTGTGAATGCATGGGTTCAAGTATCTGATACTATTATGTGAATATTTTGGATTGCTGTAAGTGTTGTTGTACACTAGTTATAGTAGGAAAGTACATCAGTTTCCATTTTTGTTGAGTGCTTGATTTGAGTTGTGCAACTTTTTTCAAAGTTGTGTTAATCTATTCTGTGTTTTTCCTCTTTTAGTAACGGTATCTGAAAACATTGTTTTGTCTAAGATTTCAACATTTAAAAAAATACAAATATTATTTGTAATCAGCCTAGTTTTACTTACTGTAACTCATTATATTGCAGATAGCGTATGCCAAACTCGAAGGGGATGTTATCGTTAGTGCTGCTTATGCACACGAGCTTCCTCGTTATGGCATCAAGGTCGGGTTGACCAATTATGCTGCAGCTTATTGCACTGGTCTTTTGCTAGCACGTCGTGTAAGTTCTTTTGCTCCACACAATTAATCAATCGATATACATCACCTTATTACTTATTTAATGTTTGTTTTCATTTTTCCCTGTCTTTCTTCTTTTGGTAATCAGTTTGTGTATTCCAGTTAATAAAGTTGGGATGATATGTTGTGGGATCCATTTTCACAGCTAAAAAGGAACAATTCAAATGAAAACTATACCCATGAAAGCATCAAAGGGGTTTGTAAACCAAATTTCCAACACTTACATGTAACTCAATTAGTCTCTTTAAAGTTGAGGTTCTCTGCTTTGGCAGGAGTTCCCCTTATACTGTACATAAATATCATCCTTTCTTACCCTCCACCAAAGTCATACTATAAGTTTTCTATTCAATCATGTTTAATGCATCTTTATGGGTTTCATTCAAAACAAATTTCAGGCAGTCTACTGCAACTTTTCAAGGCCTGTAACTGCCTTTTGGTTAGATTTAATGTCAAGGTTTGTTTGGTAACCCATCATAATCTTGACTTTTTAAGAGTATTGCTTCAGCTAACAAGGGCAAGAACATTTTAGTTCTTCAGAATTTTCAGCTACAGTAAATTGTTGTTGTCAAGATCTGAAGAAATTGCATGTTATTCAATTTGCTAATTTTGATTAGCAGTTGGTTACCTACCTTATTTTCTGTGCTTTCTGTGACAGCTGCTCACCAAACTGAACCTGCACGAGATCTACACAGGAACAGATGAAGTCAACGGGGAGGAGTACAATGTGGAAAGTGTTGATGGATCCCCAGGTGCTTTCAGGGCTTTCCTGGACGTTGGACTGGCAAGAACCACTACTGGAGCAAGGGTGTTTGGTGCTCTGAAAGGAGCAGTAGACGGGGGCCTTGACATTCCTCATAGGTAAGGCAGAATACTGTTTAGATGTGAAACCTCCAGTGAAATGAAAAATATTCCAATGATTGCAGAACTTGAATCAAACATTGACATTTTGATTTGAAACTATGACAACTGAATCCTTTCATGCCAAGATTGATCTGTACTCAACCCTTTTGCTATTAGATCTCACTTGTGACTCTCCTTACTGTATGCCATTTAATGCTTATGATGTTAGTTCAGAGAATTTAGTACTGGATCAAGTAATAATCCACTAATTGATATTCTCTCTATTCTCATCACTCATCTGCCTGATGTTGTATTGACATTGTAAAGAGAAATTCTGTCTTCATCACTCAAGGGAGTCAAAGGTTAACCTTTAAACTCCCAGGACAAACCGAAGACTTTCTCTTTACCAAATCAATGCATTTTCAACCAGAAGGGTGCTGAGGAGAAGGAAAAACTCTTAATTATGGTTTATTGTTTGATTAAACACTGAATTCTCTGGGATAGAATTTAAAAAAATGTATCACAGACAAAGCACAGAATTGTCTCTGTGCCATGAGAGTGAAAGGTTGAAATTCTCCTTGCCTCCTTCACACACTATCAAGCATAAAGGTGGTGAGTAAGGAAAGTATCTATCAGGAATTTATGTTGGGTCTTGCATATAATTGCTTGAGTATTTGTCTGGAATCTACCATGCTGATTTTATGAACTTTGCCTTACTGAAGTGGTGATTGAATATGAAGAATGCTCTTTGTCTTCAGGAATTGCTTACTTCCTTTATTTTCCACCTAAGTATAGTACATTTTGCAACAGGAAGGACATGGAAAGGGAATCAGTTCAAGGTTACATGTGACCCATTGCTGTCATGTAATTTATTCCCAAGTTTTGCAGTTAATACTCCCAGTGATTTCAATTTGTTGTTCAGCAATGGTGCCCACTACTTAAATCACTTTCACCTAGCGTTTTAATGACAAATGCAATTATTTCTGTATTGTTGTTTTCCACAGCATGAAGCGTTTCCCAGGTTATGATTGCGAGTCCAAAGAATTCAATGCTGAGATCCATCGTAATCACATCTTTGGTCAGCATGTAGCAAATTTCATGACAGAGTTGAAAGAACAAGATGAAGAGGCTTACAAGAAACAGTTCTCTCAGTACATTAAGAATGGCATTGAACCAGATCAGGTTAGGACTTACATGTAATTTTATGTTTGATGAATGTTTTTTTGGTTGACCAAAATGATCTTAGTGTTTCTAGTAAGCAGTATAGTTGACATTGACATGCATTTTTGGAGATTGGTGCAGCGTCTTAAGGGCAGCCAAGAAGAAAATGGTAAAGGCAAAAGAAAATGTTTACCTCATTAAAACTCGGCTGTAGAAACAATAGTACTTGTTACATGGCCATCAACCACAGTTCCCCAATGGGCAACTTATGCTGCAAATACAGTGCTGTGCAGGGATCAAAATTTTTTTTTTAATGCTGTGGAAACCAATTTGGTGGCACTGTAATAGCATAAACAATCTTATTTTAATGGTGATAATCAAGTCCTTTGATTTGAGCAGTCTTATCCAAAAACCACGCAAACTTTCCAGTTCTTCAAATTCTTCATGAACTACAAAGAGTATTGATTCCATGGTGTTCACAGATTGAGGAGCTCTACAAGAAAGCCCATGCTGCCATTCGTGAGGATCCTGTGGCCAAGCCTTCACAGAAGAAGGAAGTCACACCCAAGAGGTGAGCTCTATCAAACTGATTCTGTTCATGGATTGGTTGGTCAGTCACCATGGTGGTATTAAAATCTGGAGTTGCTTTGAACCTATTTGGTTCTGTGACTGTGGACATAGGTTATGATTGTTGCAGTGTCAAGCAATTTTTGAACATGCATTTTTTTTTTCCAGGTATAACCGCAAGAAGATGTCCCTCCAACAGCGCAAGGCTCGTGTTGCACAGAAGAAAGCTTACTTCCTGAAGCAGCAGGGTGACGGTGAAGATGAGGAAGAGGATGACGAGTGAGCTTGTCAGTTGAAATAAATTCCCTTTGAAGAGCAGAATTTTTTTGTCGTGGTCACTGTTCTATGTGTTTACTTTTAAATTCCCTTTCCTTTATGCATTTGTTAGTGCGTTTTCCATTACTCTTCTCTTTGTGTCCTATGGTACCTCATGTGCATGGTGTCTTTTTGCTCTGTTTTATGACTATCACCATTCCAATACCGTCTAATACCAAATGCAAGGTATCAGACCTGCAAAAATCTGTTGCACGAAAGTTATCATGTTTCAACAGGTAACTATGGGAATGGTGTTACACTGTAGTGAAACAAACCCTTTCCTATTTCCTAGACTTCTGTCTCTAGCCTGAGACTAAGAAAATCACCACAAGAGTTCTCCCTGAAGATTCAAACCTTGCATCTCAGACTATATACCAATTTATCTTCAGTGTTATTGACTCTCAGCCGCCGAGCAACACGTTTACTAAGGGGAAAATGATTTCGAGTAGGAATGGGCTTTGGAAAAAAGGAAAGGGAGAAAAACAACCACAATAACGTTGAGGGAAAAAAATGGCGACAAACAAAATTAAACAGTCATTTCTTTAATTTTACCAACCTCGCATGCAAAGGCGCAGAGTCAAGTTTCCTTGAAATGTTAAGCGCTCTTCGCGTAAAACGTGAAACTTGTAACATTGCTTTGCGAGACGAGAAAAACAAATGTAAGCGAAACAGTACCCGGTGAGTCCAACTAGAGCATCCAACTAAAAGTTCTACTTAACCGCAAGAAGCGGGACGTGAATTTATGTAGTATGCGCTAGTTGCGCTTGTTGATGAATTCACCTGTCTAGTTTCCGTCCAGAAGATGGCATATTGTCAGAAGTTCTGCCCTTTTTGACTCGTGAATTGCGCGCATGCGCAAGAGCGAGTTGTAGATATAGTGTGGAGAATGGCATTCGCTCGCTCGCTCGATTGGTCGATTCCTGTAAACTTTTTTTCGATTTTAGGCTTTTGAGTGCATTTGATAGTTTTTGGCGAGCAATAAACAAACGAAATGTCGACCTTTGTTGCTAAGAATAGTGGTGGGGTGAAAAAGAAGCCAATGATAGTCTTGAAAGAGTTTTTTTTTTTCGTTTTAGTTTCAATAAGCGGTGCCAGCGACTGGCAGGCATGCAAGGATTCACACTGAAATAACAGAAAAACCTTCGTTTTTCATAAAATTGTAATTTACAATCCTTGAACTTGAAAACAATCCGAAAATTCATTGAAAATATCACTTACTGCGAAGCGCTCGGAGTTACAGATGTTCAAAAGCTTTGTCTGTTATGGCGTGAGATTGAGGACAAAATCGATCATTACGTTTCGTATCGTGTGTTTCTCCTGTGCGAAGCAACAAAAGATGCCGGCGACTGACGAAATTACAAGTTAACACGAAAATCAAATAACACCCAAACAAACAATTTTAGCTACCGATTTTCAGTGAATTCTTAAAGAACAATTTTCTTTTAACAACTTGAAGATTCAAAATAAATATTACGTACTAAAATGCGAAAGTCATACACCACAAAATTGATAAATAGGCCTGAAATGAAATTCTGTCATGTTATTGATTATACGTTGCCTAGCACGTGACTAAAATCTACCCAGGCGGAGATCCAAAATGACGGTGGCAGTCTTGACTTGTTATATCACTCAAAATTCGTTCCCGTTTATCTCATTTGATAAAGAGGGAATCCTTAATGTTTTCATTATGATAGTACTGCCTTGATTTTCCAACATTTACAATGATAGAAAGTAAATTTCACTTTTCACCCTCATTTACTTCCAACCTTTTCTTTTGAACCAGAAACAAAAATGATATACGTTTAAAACACATGACATCATCCACCCTTGTCAAATGCAATAGCATGATCACTTCAATTGTAATGCCTTCTTATCCCAACGTTACTTTGTTTCTTTGCTACATTAGCGAACACTGAACTACTGCTCGTACTCTAGATATGATAATCAACCACAAAATTCCCTAAACCAGATAACATAAAACATAATCCAAAAAATCATGTGTCAATTCACGAGTTTGCTCACAGAGCACTTTGATTCTAATTTTGATATAAACAATCATTTTCGTGCTTTTTTATGCCATAAACGTTTGACGCTAGCTAGATAATTTGGATACGTGGATGATCTGATTAATATTCGGGTTTTCACGAAGCCGATTTGTACTGTCCGTCGTTGAAGGGTAACTGACACCAAATTTTTGCCCTTTTTTTTTTTTTTGCCCCGGTACATTCCTCTTCAGGTCACGTGATGTGATACATCACACGTGTGTAAGGCAGTAAAAAGCGTCATGTTAAGACCTGAAAGCAATAACTTGGCCCTCGCTGTCCAGCTGCTGCCGAAATTTACGAGCGGAATAAAATAAGATTTGTTCCATTCTGATATAGGCCACCATTTTAGAGACTAAAGAAATACGAAGTGAGAAATAAAACAAAGGTTGAATCATCGAAACGCGACGGATCGCACGTCTGTATCCACAGGTAATTTGCACGCCGTTCCAAACAGCTGTAAAAAATACATTCCCATAATTATTTTCTCTCAATCATTATGGAGTCCTATTTTCTGTGCTTACCAAATCATAACTACTTTAAGCGATGGTGAGCTTCCGTGACTAATATCTTCAAACTAAATGAACAAATCAGTAAATCAATTGGGAGGGAAAGGAAAGCCAGCATTGATTTTGTTAGACTATCTCGCTGATGTTATCTTACAAACTCAGTGGATTCCATAACACTTAAATTTTTCCTTAGGTATGGTAGCCCTTCTCGTCGATATTCGATATCCCGTTAGTACCTGTATCTCCAAGCCTCAGCTGTTTAACTGGTAGATATGTCTTTTCAATGAGAAGACCACTATTTTCATGCCAGTTTCTTTCACCTGTTAAACAGTTACAAACTTTCTTTTTTCTTGCACAGGTGTTGTTCATTCCGCATGTGCCACTTCATAGGACTATCTGGATCAGGAGCTGCTCCGCCCCGATAGTTCATTTCTATTGACTCACGCGACACCCAGAAAGCATCATGCATTGTAGAATCGAGGCACTCGTACTTGATAAACTGCTCACGCTGTTGGGGAACGTTGATGAGACTCACTAGCTGAGAGATGTTCGCTCCTTTGTAGTGTATGTTGCGAGAGTAGGATTCCCCTGCTTCATATCCGTCTACCAATGTCCTGTTCTCGCTGTCGTGACTTATGACAGTCACGCCAACTTCGCCTTTGTCACTCATGTCACAGGTGACGTGTAAGGTAGCAATCCTCGTTCTCCATCAGGGACAATCGGACAGATTCCACTTTTTGTCCTTAAAGCCACTGCAAGACTTTGATAAATATGTGAAAAGAAGTGAAACAGAGTGAGAAGTCGGTAAAGTTGTATGAGAATTTTTTTGTATGAGAAAGATATCGATTCAGCCATCTAAACTCTCAAAGTGCCCTCACTTTCGAGTGTAAGTGGGTATCATAAAAAATGCCACGGAAACATATCCCTGGATACACTTTATTGAAATTTACCGCAACAAATAATTATAGTCACGCTTACTTTTGGCTTAAAGGTCAACAAGTAAAAATACGTCATGTCGTTACCATCAGCAGATTTTCGTTTTTTTTTCAAAGTCCACTACGCACGATTTTCGTGGGTTAATGTCGTTCTTCCCACCTCATTGGTATACCATCGAGTTATAGATATTATCGTTGTAGAAAGCGTTGTTGTCCTACGTGCTTTTGTACGTAAATGAAACGTTTGATGATTTGTCTCACAGCATCAGGTTTTTTCATTGCATTGATTGATTGTTAGTCATCAAAACAAACAAATTTGTTACCTTTTTCACAATTTTCACCCGTTTAACCAACTCGACATAGGCAAATGTATCTCTTGTCTGTAAACCCATGCAGATAGTCAAGTTACACCATGAAGACAAGAGTAGCTGGAACATGAATTCTAAAGGAATAGAAGAGGTCTATTAACAGAGTTTCTGAGCAGTATTTACCCAAATAAAATCGAAGCGGTCAGGAGAACTCTTATTTCGCACCGTAGTAGCCCAGTAGAGAGACTCCTCTTTTGGTTTAAGATCATAAGGATGTTGGATATGGTCAGATATCAGACTCAGTTGGCACCGTCTGTGTCGGGTGAGCCAACGTTCACTGACACGTACACATGAACTTTCTAGAAGGCTCTCGTATCAACAGTCACCGTTGGCTCATTTCCCATGGTTAAATTTATTTCTTTAACATCGTGTTCTTGAAGAACGTATCCTCCTAATGTTTTCACCTCCCAATTTGCAAACCTCAGATTTTGGCAATCAAACCATGTGACGAAACGAAATGCGTAAAACCCAAGCTAAAATTATAAAGACCCTAGGCTACTTGAGCGTAATGACTGCAATGTGCTCACGGTTTAACCAGTGAGCGCCAGCTGGTTTTATCCCGCAAATTTGAGAAAGAAATTTGATATTTCATCCAATTCTTATCAGTCCTTATTTACGTCGCTGCTTTCAGTCTCAGCTGTCTTAGTGCTGCTTTTCCCATTTATTTTTTACTTGGTACTGTTAGTGAGTACCTTTGATCAACCATGTTAAGTGTGTCTTATTTATAAACGAAACAGGTTTTCTCTAACGAGCAGATTCATACTAACTTGGTAAAAGATCACCTATCATGGCTTATGTGCGAAACTACTACAAAAAAATAGTCATCTATATTTTTGTAGCTGAAGTTGATCAAAAAAGAAAGCAATTATCGAAGAGTATTCATCACAAACTTTCGAGCACTTTAAGTCTTTAAGAGTAACCCATCAAGACAAGGCAAAAACTGCTTGTCGACATTCTTGTGAGAGGCATGTATATCTTCCTTTCATGCCTGACTCATTTTCAATTGAACTGGTTTTTTGGTTTTACTTTGAGAGCCGAGTGAGGTCGCCCACATTTTCTCATTTCACCCTTCAAAATGACGGTGCGTCTCGAGTTAGGAGTATAGGTCTTATTCTTAGCCAAAATACCTTGCCATTGTACTAAAGCTTTGTATATGGGTAGTCAGCGATATAAATGAAATTCGTTTCCGCCTCGCACAGAGAGGATTCGTTGACATTAGTCAACAACACAATTTTGGCAACATGTAGATATCCTTTCCTGTTTTGAGAAATCACTCGTATAGCTCGTTAGCCTGTTGTTAAGTTTGGTCTCTAATGTACTTTTAAAAGCATGCAAAGAACGTCTAATATCATGAGGGGAAAGATTTACTTTTCCGTGACAGAGTGATGACCATTATCCCGCGCTTATTTGCTCACCAGTAATTATTACATAAAACGGACCCTCGAAACCAAGCTGAGCTCGGGATTAAAATTTTCCACAAAAACAGACTGATGTTGGACCTCATTGATCGAAGACATATATTTGGTGCGTATACACAAATAGACATACATTTACAATGTGGTGTCGTGAAATGCATCCTTACGAAATTCGCAAAACCGTCGTAATTTAGGGATCAACTGAATTAAAGAATTTGTATAGGTAATGGCATGATTTTCAGTGCAATCTGGGATAAATCAGCAGGCATAAATTTTTTAACCGAACTAGCCTGTAGGGCGGGTGAAATTTGTAGTCTATTAAAAATATGATAATCATGTTATTACTAGTAATAATATACACGCAAAAATGTCGGGCTTTTTCGTCAAGAATTCGTTTCAAACTTCTACAACCTCTTCGAGAATAATTGAACGTTTGTATTCTTTCTCTGTTAGGTATCATTCGACAGTAGTAACCATTTCATGAAAGCCATCAAGCTTGTAGTCTTCCCCGTCTTTTGTAAGAACATTTGCGTAAAATTCCTCGAGAATTTTTATCCAGGGCCTCCGATTCATACTTTCATATCCGTTTTTGGAAGCCAGACTTTGTTTTTCCTTTTTCCGTGTTTTTCCTATTTCTCTCTCTTCCCCAAATTGTTCCATAATGAGAGGGTCAATACTCAGCCTGATAAATTATCAGTGTCTAATGTCAACTACATATACCGATACGTCTTTTCTACCATGTAACAATAATCACAAACTCACATGAACCAGTAAAATAATGATCGTCAACAATCGCATTTCTGTCACACTTAAATGAGTTAAATTCAATTGAAAATTCAACGGACATTGGACAAGGACATATTTATTTTTGTGAGTTCTCTGCTAAAAAAAAGAAAATTCAGTGTTTGAAATTCCCAGGTTTACTTTTCGCTCGTATATTTTGCATTTAGCGAATCGTGCAAAGGGTTAAGAAGTGTATTTGGATCTGACCTGATTTCGATTGTTGGGGTTTGTGAATAAATTGTGGATTTGCGACCAAAGAGTACCATAAGGGCGGACAAAAATACGAAAGGGCTCTTTATTTTGCAAAACATTCTTCGCAGGTACAAGACGAGTACAGCTAAAAATGCATCAATATGTGCAGCAATATGGGAAGGAAAGAAGAATTATACTTAGTTGTATGAAACAAAAAAGAAAAAACTGAAGTTTAGGGAAAGAATCCTTTCTCTTCAAGTTCACTTAAAATACACATTAAAATGCTGCTAATGCACAGGGCTACTATGAATCACGATTAGACTGCATACACTTGCTCATACGTCTCGGAAGTTTTCTGCAAGATGACAGGCTTTTTATCTCATAAACGTTTGACGCTAGGTAAATAATTTGGATAGGAGGATGATCATATTAATATAATTCAGGTTTTCATGAAGCCGATTTGTAATGTCAGTCAATTTAAAAATAGTTCCAACAAAAATTTGTCAAAGCTTTAAACGATTTAGTGTTGTTTAGGCTTCCAGACTTGACTTTACTATTCTAGTGATTCACGCGAAGGAATCATTTCATTTTGAAGTTGATATGTATTAATACACATCAAAAAGTCACGCGCGTCTGATTGGCCAAAAATGAGTGTATTTTTTCATGTAACACGAGTGCAAAGTTAAAGCACGAATGCAAATTTCAAATGCAAAGTTTTGTCCGTTTTGACTTTCTGTTATGCGTTTTCATGTAAATTATTAATAAGTAACAAAATGATTTCTCGTGAAATTTGGTTTAAATAAGCACTTATACATTTTTCGGACTACAAACTGCACTCGACCTAGGGGCTCGTGCAATTTTGTCGTCTTTGAAAAATTTACTCGTGCTTATCAACACCAAATTTCGCTCGAAATCATGTTGTTACCTGTGCATGATGCATTTGAAACTTCAAACCACACCGGCCTGTCATTCAGCTGGTTATCATGTATAATTTTTTCTGTTAGGCATCCGATCCATCCATTATTGCCTAAATTACGCTGAAGTTGACCAATCAAAATTCGGATTGCGTGGGGTACATCTTTAAAGACATCGGGAAAGACAGTAAACAGACTTATTCTGTAATGACATTTTTCGCGATGGGACTTAAAAACACTCCCCTCTTTGTCTTCTTTCGAGGAGTCATATTACTCTGCACAGTTTTCCACGCAGGAGTAGAATCGTCTTCCCTTTCTCGATCAACATATTTCACAACGTTGACAAATAAGCGGCTTAAAGGTTTTGTCGTGAAACGGTTTAAGTCTCCCAGTCAAATTTGGTGTGGTCAGTCATGTTTCAAAAACGCCTGGTGTATTTCAACAAACTTCAAACCTGCTCCTCAAACTTCCAAGTCTGATGGCAAAGGAACTTGTGAACTAAACAAGCACGACGTTATCAAAGAAAACGCACATTTACAGTTCGAGGCGGGAGCCATTTTCTCAACACTTATTAAGGTAGATAATTGCAGGATTTGGATCGTTTTCAATGTATTCGCGATACCAAGTTTAATCAATTCGTTTATTTTTAAGTCTTGTAATTTCACAGTTTAACCCTTTCCTCTATTCGGGAAAAATCCCCTTAAGTGAGCCGTAAAAACAAGCTGGTGGCACCAAACAAATATTTTGTTTCCCCGCCGACGTTTGAGAACTATCGTGATAGCATTCATCGATTACCGGTTTAACATGAAGGTTTGAAGTTCTTTTTCATTAAAACAAAAAAATAATTCTCCTTTAACTAACTAAGGACAATAATAAAAAAGAGAGATAAAGGAAAAATATTTCATGGGGCGTTTGGTGATCAACTGCAAATGTTATGCACCTTAAAGAAAACCATTAAATGATTATGCAAATATTTGTAAAGAACATAAAACTCGAACTGATGCTTGCCAGCAGAAGCAAGTTTTGGAAATGGCACATACGCTTTCTTTTATTCCCTTTTAAATGAAATCCTTTTCCAGCAAATATAGGAATTTAGAAACATCATTGTTTGATCGAGATATTTGAAATTATATGCCGTCCCCATCCATTATGGCTGATGGGTTCATGTTTGTTTCTCATTTGCATCACAAAAAAAAGTGCAGTGACTCCACCATTGGTAAAAGCTTGAGGTTGTTGCGAATCTCATATTACTGTCTTTGAATATGTAATAGTTTTGAACTAAAGTTTATAGAAGCTAGACCATTAATAAATAACATACCTTGGCTTCGTTTGAATTCTGCCAATACATGTACTTGTAGATGTTGACTAAATGCATAGTTAAAAACAAAATTTTTAGGCAGCCAGTTTACCCCAATGGTTTTGTCTGAACATTACGACTTTGTAAATCATGTTTTAGAAGTTTGTTGAAGAATTGGTGAGGACAGATAAATTGTTTAGTTCAATTTGACGGTGGGTAGGCTTGATACCTACTCGGTTGTTTGAGCTGGATCTAGGAGATAACAAAAACACTGTACTTGAGAGCGTGACTATTTTCCAGCGAATTATTTTTATCCATCAGTAGGAAAGTGAAATAATTTTGCAGCATATTTATGTTTATGTATATTCTTCTCATTATTCCATCGGCTACTCTTTCTATCTAGGATTGCCGTCTAGCAGCTCGCACCTGTTTAAATGGTGGTGTGTGTTTTTATGACAAGAAAAGGCAAACTTATTCATGTGAATGCAAGCCCCCTTGGACCGGAGAAACTTGTGCTGATCTGTGTAAGAAACTACTTTGTAAAGTAGAATGAAGTTGTAATGTATTGCCTGTCGAGAAAAGCTTCAGAGCAGTTTTCCTGTTGCATTTATGCGACAACTGAAAAAATTTAGCGTGACAGTTTTCTGCAAACGAGCAAACAAACTTCATTCGAACGCTATTTTGCATTGTCTTGCTTTTGTAACGCACATGCTTTAAGAGATTTACTTCGATTCAAAAGCGTTATTAGCTAGACCAACTTAATCATATATGGTTTGAAGATCGGTTGGTCAGTCGCCATATGATGTAGCTCCTTTTTACTAATAACAACTCTTTTGAAATGTTGTCTTGTAATCGCAAAAAGTTGACTGTGACAGCCATCCCTGCAAAAACAATGGAACTTGTACAGTCGGAGTCAATGAATATAACTGCAGCTGTGCACCAGGATTTTACGGGACACAGTGTGAAAAGATTGAAGGCCTATCTTGTTCATCAGGTTTGTAGAGAGGTGTATCGTATTTTGATGACATAATCTGAGAGCGCAAGCTTCCTTCTACAAAGAGAAGTTCTCGTGGAGATGGGGATGACCTTTCAACATTTTACAAAGTTTTGGATGGGACATTAATTAAGATTCTTGAGGACAAACCACGCCAATGTTTTTATTTTGATTACGGTTTCTCATAAAAACTTTCCACAATTGATAATCGTCAGCGTCAGGACGCTGTAAACCCATTCGATCAATATCAGTATCTGAGAAGCTACGCTCCTACCCCTCCCCTAACCCAACAATCGTCAATTGATAACAAGTTAAGGTTAATGTTGGGTTAAGGGAGGGGTTGGTGCCTGTCGCTCACATACTTATATTAATAAGTATGCGATAGATTGGATTACCAATCTATCGCTTTTTATCCCTTTACATCCTAACAACAGTAGGCTTATTCTCCATACTGTTCGTTATACATTTCCAAAGGTGCTGACGAGGAGAGTTTATTTAGCGATCAAAAGCGTCTGTTTTTGGTGATCATTTCCTTTATTCTCATGACCTTAATGTTTGATTCAGCGCTGTTATTTTAGGGAGAAATTAGATGCTAGTCACTCGTCGGGGTTAAAGAGTTCAAGAAGTAGAAAGTGACTGTTGGATTTTAAATTGTGTGAAAAGTTTATACCTCGGGGTTTTTTTTTTTTTAAGCGGTCAGAATACTTTCAAACGAGCTGACCTATTTAGGTAAACACCACAAGCTACCTTTGACATCTCAGAGCGCTCAAGGTACTTTTTTTTGTATCTTTCTCTCTGGCGTGCGTGGTAGCCGTGCGGAAGCCAAAGCAAGATTTTTCAAAAAACAAAGACAATCTTTACTCTGGGTATCTGTTTATCGGTTACGTACGTGATCTGGTAGCGGACATGAGATAAAAAGTAATTACTGAAACAAGATTAATCCGGAAATTTCGCAGTAAGATTCATCCAATTTAAGAGTTGCTTTGCCATTTCAAGGAAACTGGAGTAAAGAAGATTGTGTTTTGTTGTTTCCTACAACTTACCGAATGGTCTTTGGACAGCCTAGCATAAAGAGTTACGCCAGCATAACAAACGCCACCTCGTCTAGTCTCTCGGAATTTACTATGTGCCTTTTTGTCAAAATGAAGGATACAAGTTTCAGTAGTGACCAGTGCCTCTACAGTTATGCGACTATTGGAGCACCTTATGGGAATGCCTTCTACGTTTGCCTGTTTTCCCCAGGAATTAGGATTTCTATACACGCCCCGGGAGATAAGTAAGTGATATGACAAACACGATAAAGAAAAGTCTGTACTCGAATCAAATGGTCCATCCAGCCCAACCGTATCCTGGTCTTCTTAAAATAAAGCGACTCGTTGGAGTATTAATACTTCCCCCTGGACGGGATGCTTATCTATTGCAATTTTAGCATTTCATTCGGTTTCCCCTACAGTGTGCCGTAATACTCCTGGGTGGAGTGAAGCACTGTAAGAATAAAGTCTGTCGCCCAAGAACACAACACAATAACCCAATAGAATAAGATAGAAGAGAACTAAAAATATACCGGAATGAATGGCGAATTACGCGCGAGAAAGGGACGCGAAGATGAATTTTTTTGAGCTCCTTCCTTCGCGCGTGAATCACACTTACCTTGGCTCACCTCAAAAAAAGAAATAATATTCCTGTTGCCGCAATGGGCTAAAGTGCTCCCAGCGGAGTATTATCTAGGCTTCTGATGGTATTTGGCATTAACAACACTTGAGAACAAAAACAAGAGAACATGGTTGTTAACAACCACGTTCTCTTGTTTTTGTTCCCAAGCGACTTAAAATAAACAATTAAACGAGTCTAGTGATTTAATCATTGTTAATGACAAAATTTAGTGCTATGTTGTATATATATATACACATGAAACTCATGTACATACAGCCTACCAGCAGTTACCTGTAGCTCGTTGGAGGAGGAGTCAACTAGTGTATCAAATATAGGTGAACAACCAATCTTGATGTCACATTGAATTGGACCGCAATCAGTCAAAAACTGAGAGTTTCTGATATAATTTTAATTGTTTATGTTCATTTTGTAAGTGATACAGACGCCAGAGTCAAAATAAATGATACCATGTGGCATCACATTTGTGTTACCTGGAAAAATACCAAAGGCGACTGGCAGTTTTATCTGGATGGACAACTTCAAAGCTCTGGAACTGGCTTGAAGAAAAATCATCAGATACCAGCCGGCGGAACAGTTGTCATTGGACAAGACCAAGATAAAGTCGGAGGGGGCTTTGATATCGAAGATAGCTTTGGGCCGGGTGAGGTAACAGAAGTCAATCTTTGGAGTAGGGTCCTTTCTGGCGATGAAATTGCAGCTCAGAAGGCAAATTGTGACATCGCACAAGCAGGCCTCGTTCTCTCGTGGGGACAGTTCAAAGGAAAAGTTACTGGTGTGAAAATAGTCGAGCCTTAAAAGTGATAGGATTTTTAACACCACCATCTTGTTTGCGACAAACTCTTTATAACAGAAAGAGATCCTTCCTCGAGCAAGGAACACCTAACACTGATCAATATCTACATACATGTTAAATAGCTTTTACCACTCGTATTGTGGAGTCCAACAATTGTTATTACACAGATGACAGCTCTTTTATCCAGTTCAGTAGAGTGTTTCATAGATTGCGCCCTTCTATTTATGATTTGATAACCTTAAGGTTGCTCTCTAGTCGCTCGTTACTGTTGATGAAACGCCAAAGTTCAGGACTGAAGTAGCGAGTATCATTCAATTATTAGTCACGAAGCATTTAAGCTAAGTTTGCACGAATATCATGATCATAATCACCAAAACACGATCTCTGAACCACATGACACAATTTGTATCTCTTTCTTAGTGATTTCGTTGCACGAGGCAATCGAAGGCGGAGAAAAAAGAGAGGGTAAAAAACATTGCTTCCTTGGCTGAAATCTCGGATAGTGGTATGCCCCCCTCTTGAGTTATATTGCACCAGAGTATTTTCCCTTAACTTAACCTTTAAAGAAGAGCTCAAAACCCAGCCTTGAATTTTGTTAATGATTTCCATCCATTGTGTCTAAGTCACAAAACCTTCCTAAGTACCTTTGTCTTGTAAGTTTTGTTCCCTCGGTTTTAAATATTTGCCATGGTGGATTTCTTTTCAATTGTAATTGTAATTGATTATGGTTTTAAGTAACCGTAAGTGCAACCGTAATAATATTTGAGATACTATTAACGGGTTGGAACTGGTGACAACATTTGGCTGAAACTCGATTTGTTCATAATAAAGGTAGTTGTAATGTGTTGTCGTAAAGGAGGTCAATTGATGAAGTTTGAAGAAGAACCAACTTTTATGTTTTAATTAATTTTTTTTATTTTATTCGTTCATTTATATTCTACATACTATTTACTATCTACAATATTTTTAGTAAGATTTGCGACATCAATCACAATACCAATGTTACATAGATAGTACAAATACGTATTTCAATCGAGTGTCGCAAAACCAAAACCAGATTAATCCCCTTAGTTTATCAAGAAGAAAGTGGGGTATCTTATTGTATGTTTATCTTACATTGGAAATTTTTTCGTTGTGGCGTACTTATAACATTGTTACACGCGTGATACTGTCAATGAAGTTATTCACGATCAGATTGCGTACTTACTCAACATATAGTAGAGTCACCACTGTAGATAACATTGCATCATTCTTCTTAAATCATGGATGCTTACTACATTTATTTAAGTTACAAGGTAAGTTTAACTTGAGGGTCTCCATGAGGCGATGATTCTTACGGCTAACGGTTAAAAGTTTGGCCATTTTACGTCAAACACTTTATTACCTACTGTTTCAATTAAAAGATGAAATGGTTAAATTTATCACTTTTTACCTCTAACAATTACTTTTTTTTTAACGTTTTACGGCTAATTAAGATCTCCTACCTTTGGAAAGCAATTTTTGACATTATTTACGCCAAAATTATGAGGGAGCTGTGTATTCAACAAAAAATATTCAATTATCCAATGCGTTACTATTTTACCGCAAGAAGCGGGACGTCAATTTATCTGTCTAGTTTCCGTCTAGAAGATGGCATATTGTCAGAAATTCTGCCTTTTTGGTTTGCTTGTTACGAAGTGTGGCGTATTCCTTAAAATGACCAATTTCAGTGTCGGTCAAAGTGGTGCATTTGTCATGGGAGGTGTGGCCTATGGAATACGAGCCCACTTTAAGCAAGCCCGTTTAACGTTTGACGTTAAGTAGATAATTTGGAGAAGTGGATGATCATATTAATATTAAGGTTTTCATGAAGCCGATTTGTACAGTGTCCGTCATTAATTTGAAAAGAGTTCCAACAAAAATTTGTCAAAGCTTTAAATGATTTAGTGTTGTTTAGGCTTCCACACTTGACTTTACAATTCTAGTGATTCACGTGAGTGAATCATTTCATTTTGAATTTGATATGTATAAATATACATTAAAAAGTCACACGCGTCTGATTTGCCGAAAACGAGTGCATTTTTTCATGTATTAATAGTAGTAGTAGGCAGTCGTCGGACCATGTCCATGACTAGCGCAATTGCGACAAACACTTTCTCTCGTGGCTAAAAAGCCCAATTTTAATACGGCAGACATGGCCGCATCCACTGCACACAAAGACACATGCCACTGGAACACACGTTGCTTTGTTCATTGCTGCTCTTCCCTTAGCTCTTCTATCATCGGCTTCAGCTTTCAGCCTTTCCTCTCCCGCTTGGAGAGCCAGACTGCACACAGACCTCCAATCACTCCGATTTGCAGCATGTAGCTCTCAGTTATCTGTTGGCAGGCCAGTGGCGAGCATATCTCTCTTGGATACGTCCTTGAAACGCAGCTTAGGTCTGCCAATAGGCCTCGAACCGGATTCCAACTCGCCATACAGCAGATCCTTAGGGATTCGCCCATCCTCCATCCGGTACACATGACCGAGCCACCTCAATCTGCGCTGTCTTAGCAGGGTGAACATCGAGGGGATATTGGCTCTTGCAAGTACCTCATGTTAGAGACCTTATCTGTCCATGAGATGGAGAGGATGCGACGAAGACATCTCATATGGAAGATGTTCAAGCGCTTCTCCTGACTAGCGTAGGTAGTCCAAGACTCGCTACCAAACAATAAGGTGCTCACGATGCAGGCACGATACACAGCAACTTTAGTTTGGGTAGTTAGCTTAACTCATATCTGTAAACTAAGATCAACAGTTTAAAATGTTTTTATGAAAAGTTCATAAAGCCCGGTATGTTGCGAGAGTAGGATTCCCCGGCTTCATATCCGTCCACCAATGTCCTGTTCTCGCTGTCGTGACTTATGACAGTCACGCCAACTCCGCCTTTGTCACTCATGTCATGACTTTGATAAATATGTGAAAAGAAGTGAAACAGAGTAAGAAGTCGGTAAAGTTGTATGAGAAATTTTTTGTATGAGAAAGATATCGATTCAGCCATCTAAACTCTCAAAGTGCCTTCACTTTCGAGTGAAAGTGGGTATCATAAAAAATGCCACGGAAACATATCCCTGGTTACACTTTATTGAAATTTACCGCAACAAATAATTATAGCCACGCTTACTTTTGGCTTAAAGGTCAACAAGTAAAAATACGTCATGTCATTACCATCAGCAGATTTTCGTTTTTTTTCAAAGTCCACAACGCACGATTTTCGTGGGTTAATGTCGTTCTTCCCACCTCATTGGTATACCATCGAGTTATAGATATTATCGTTGTAGAAAGTGTTGTTGTCCTACGTGCTTTTGTAGATAAATGAAACGTTGGATGATTTGTCTCACAGCATCAGGTTTTTTCATTGCATTGATTGATTGTTGGTCATCAAAACAAACAAATTTGTTACCTTTTTCACAATTTTCAACCGTCTAACCAACTCGACATAGGCAAATGTATCTCTTGTCTGTAAACCCATGCAGATAGTCAAGCTACACCATGAAGACAAGAGTAGCTGGAAAATGAATTCTAAAGGAATAGAAGAGGTCTATTAACAGAGTTTTTAAGCAGTATTTACCCAAATAAAATCGAAGCGGTCAGGAGAACTCTTATTTCGCACCGTAGTAGCCCAGTAGAGAGACTCCACTTTTGGTTTAAGATCATAAGGATGTTGGATATGGTCAGAATCACTCAGTTGGCACCGCCTGTGTCGGGTGGGCCAATGTTCACTGACACGTACACATGAACTTTCTAGAAGGCTCTCGTATCAACAGTCACCGTTGGCTCATTTCCCATGGTTAAATTTATTTCTTTAACATCGTGTTCTTGAAGAACGTATCCTCCTGATGTTTTCACCTCCCAATTTGCAAACCTCAGATTTTGGCAATCAAACCATGCGACGAAACGAAATGCGTAAAACCCAAGCTAAAATTATAAAGACTCTAGGCTACTTGAGCGTAATGACTGCAATGTGCTCACGGTTTATCCAGTGAGCGCCAGCTGGTTTTATCACGCAAATTTGATATTTCATCCAATTCTCATCAGTCCTTATTTACGTCGCTGCTTTCAGTCTCAGCTGTCTTAGTACTGCTTTTCCCATTTATTTTTTACTTGATACTGTTAGTGAGTACCTTTGATCAACCATGTTAAGTGTGTCTTATTTACAAACGAAACAGGTTTTCTCTAACGAGCAGATTCATACTAACTTGGTAAAAGATCACCTATCATGGCTTATGTGCGAAACTACTACAAAAAAATAGTCATCTATATTTTTGTAGCCATGTGAAGTTGATCAAAAAAGAAAGCAATTATCGAAGAGTATTCATCACAAACTTTCGAGCACTTTAAGTCTTTAAGAGTAACCCATCAAGACAAGGCAAAAACTGCTTGTCGAAATTCTTGTGAGAGGCATGTACATCTTCCTTTCATGCCTGACTCATTTTCAATTGAACTGGTTTTTTGGTTTTACTTTGAGAGCCGAGTGAGGTCGCCCACACTTTTTCATTTCACCCTTCAAAATGACGGTGCGTCTCGAGTTAGGAGTATAGGTCTTATTCTTAGCCAAAATACCTTGCCATTGTACTAAAGCTTTGTATATGGGTAGTCAGCGATATAAATGAAATTCGTTTCCGCCTCGCATAGAGAGGATTCGTTGACATTAGTCAACAACACAATTTTGGCAGCATGTAGATATCCTTTCCTGTTTTGAGAAATCACTCGTATATAGCTCGTTAGCCTGTTGTTAAGTTTGGTCTCTAATGTACTTTTAAAAGCATGCAAAGAACGTCTAATATCATGAGGGGAAAGATTTGCTTTTCTATGACGGAGTGATGACCATTATCCCGCGCTTATTTGCTCACCAGTAATTATTACATAAAACGGACCCTCGAAACCAAGCTGAGCTCGGGATTAAAATTTTCCACAAAAACAGACTGATGTTGGACCTCATTGATCGAAGACATATATTTGGTGCGTATACACAAATAGACATACACGTACAATGTGGTGTCGTGAAATGCATCCTTACGAAATTCGCAAAACCGTCGTAATTTAGGGATCAACTGAATTAAAGAATTTGTATAGGTAATGGCATGATTTTCAGTGCAATCTGGGATAAATCAGCAGGCATAAATTTTTTAACCGAACTAGCCTGTAGGGCGGGTGAAATTTGTAGTCTATTAAAAATATGATAATCATGTTATTACTAGTAATAATATACACGCAAAAATGTCGGGCTTTTTCGTCAAGAATTCGTTTCAAACTTCTACAACCTCTTCGAGAATAATTGAACGTTTGTATTCTATCTCTGTTAGGTATCATTCGACAGTAGTAACCATTTCATGAAAGCCATCAAACTTGTAGTCTTCCCCGTCTTTTGTAAGAACAGTTGCGTAAAATTCCTCGAGAATTTTTATCCAGGGCCTCCGATTCATACTTTCATATCCGTTTTTGGAAGCCAGACTTTGTTTTTCCTTTTTCCGTGTTTTCCTATTTCTCTCTCTTCCCCAAATTGTTCCATAATGAGAGGGTCAATACTCAGCCTGATAAATTATCAGTGTCTAATGTCAACTACATATACCGATACGTCTTTTCTATCATGTAACAATAATCACAAACTCACATGAACCAGTAAAATAATGATCGTCAGCAATCGCATTTCTGTCACACTTAAATGAGTTAAATTCAATTGAAAATTCAACGGACATTGGACAAGGACATATTTATTTTTGTGAGTTCTCTGCTAAAAAAAAGAAAATTCAGTGTTTGAAATTCCCAGGTTTACCTTTCGCTCGTAAGAGTACCATAACGGCGGACAAAAATACGAAAGGGCTCTTTATTTTGCAAAAACAAAAAAATGCAGCAATATGTGCA